AAGAGCAAAGAAGTTGAAGAGGAGGAACAGATGGGCAAGGCCAAGGATGAATCCAAAGGGAAGAAGAAGAGCAAAGAAGCTCAAGAAAAGGGCGGGCTGGATGCTTCCGGGAAGAAAACAAAAGAAGAAGAGAGTAAAGCAAGGAAGGCCGCTGCAAAGAAGGAGAAGCAGCCTGAGGTTGAAGAGAGTCAAGACATCGAAGATCTTCCGCCTGATGAGAGAAGGAAGTTGAAAGCTCAGGATCTGCACCCTGCCAAGGCGGGCAGAAAACGTCTAAGGCAGCTGCGACTCACAGAGATGTCATGCGCTTTCTTTTACAAGCCCTTCGGAAAGAGTGCAGTGCCTATGTTGAGAAGTGCCTGCAAGCCAAGGCGGCTTAGGCAACTCAAGCTCACTGAAATGACGGCAGTTCATTTTTACAAACCATTTGGAGAGGAGAAAAAGAGCAAAGGCGCGAGCAAAGAGAAGCCAGGCTGGATTCATAAATGGAATGTCTCTTTAGTGAGCTGCGGGAACTGGTGTGATGTCAGTAGTTGTTCAGGGGACCTCAGCCGATCAAATACATCGGCCACTGTGCATGCTGCGCCAAAGCTGCGTTGGAACATGTCACATGGTGAGCGTATATCTTTGGATCAGCTTGGTTTCGATGGGTGACGCCTAGGAGGATGGAGTTGGGGTTGTCAAGATCCAGGGCTTGACAGTTCGCGACGAGAAAGGCACCCTGCGGCGAGCTAGACTCTCAGATGTTGTACTTCCTGCCTCTATTGTTTTTGAAGATATGCTTGAGGTAAAGGTGCTGAGTCCCGAGTTGAAAGAGCAAGTGAAGAACCTGAAAGACCAATCTCAAGTGGACGTCCAGGACACACACAACCCTTTTGAAACACTTTTTGCCTTCATGAAAGAATACAGGACCGGCGTGTTATCTATGGAGCGATCGACCGAAAGATGAAGCAGAAAGGCCTACTCATCTAACAAAACAACAATGAACCTTGTTCGTTCATGTTTGTGCCTCGTTGTAGGTATGCCTGCAGAACTGCTCAAAAAGTATCAAGAAGCTGCTGGCAGCCACAGCAAAAAGCTTTGGGCTAAGCTCTGTTGTGTTTTTTTGGTAAGGTTCTTCTTGTTTCTGCTTCAGGTTTGAATTGCTAAAGGAGTTCTTACTGTCTGATGAGCTGTGCCTCAACTGCAGTTGAACCCACAGTACTTTGTGATGAATCTCGTGAAGCTCTTCTATTTTCTATCGAGGCGGAACGTGACACTGGAAGCTTCCGTCTCTCAGCTCCTTCCTTGGATTCTATAATTTTTTTTTGCAGTCTTCAAGGCTTCAAGTTTGCAAAGTGCACTTTGAGTCCAAAGGACCCAACGCACAAAAGATGATGAAGTGTACTGTGAGATGACCATGGTCGACCTGGAGCGGAAATATGCCGGAACTGAATCTGGAAGGACCTTTCCGTGTGTTGTCCTCACGATGGACTAATCATGGAATCATATATATATAAATATAAACTAAAGGTTCTTTGTGTGCGTGCGTTTGCGCTGTGTATGTTTGCTGACCGGCCCGCAGAGCTTACCTGGAGACCTTGAAAAAGACACAGCGAGGAAGACCGCACCCACGGAAGGAGGTTCATTTGCTGAGTGTTTCACTTTCTACTTTCCATTTACCTGCTTGCCTTTTCTCGATCCTCCCAGTTCAAGAAAGTGGAGGGCATGCGTCTTTACAAAGTGTTCAAGCACACCATCTCCAAGAGACACTCTTCAGCATGCAGTCCTATGGCTGTAGACGGCTACTGTAATACCTCAAGTGTTGTTCATTTTTCTCATCGGCGGAAACCTCAGGTGGGACTGAGAACAAAAGCTCGACCAAAGTGTCCAGTGTGGCCAATCTACCGGACCCGGATGAGATTGGAGAAGCAGGGTTTGAAGGAGTGACCAAGGCTGTGGGCTCCATCATAGATGACATGAGGCCTCTCTTGGCCAAGAAGTCCGACAAGAATAAGAAGCGCAAGAGGGATTCGAGTGGTTCCTCGGACCGCAGCCGTCGCCGCCGCCGTGGAAAGGATGACAAGCCTGATGAGGCAGGGTGGCATGGCCAGATCGTATACTCTCCAGTGATCAAACGTGCAAGGAAAAGAAGGAAGAGAATCCTGAAGACAAAGACAAGAAGGACTTGAACAAGAACATCAAAGGGTCAGCCTCTTATGCCTAAAGTTTGCGACATAATTGAAACATCAAAAAGTGTGACCAAGGATTCGGAGTTTAGCAGGAAGGATCAGAACTGCATCGGGAGACTTGCACACTTTTCCCGGGAATGAGGCAAGGGCAACGCGTTACCAAATCCTTACTAAAGCGCTTCACACTGCACTGCTGACAGGAGACCAAGACCAAATTGATCAAGAAACACAAATTGTTGAATGGTGCGGCTGAGAGGTCTGGCTTGTCTGAGCTTTCCCACGTCTTATGTTTTGTTTGTGGGTTGTCTCAGGCTGGAGGCGATGACCGTTGAGGGATCCACTACGGAGGAAGTGCTTCACGAATACGCATCCATGAAGACCAAGCTTGAGGTGTCCCATGTTGCTTCTTCTTCTTCATTGCAACTGCGTCTGAGTGTTGGTTTGATCATTGTTGACCTGCCGGCAGAAAGCGGAAGACTTGCTGGACACTGCTCGCTCTATGTACCGGAGCTTGAAAGCCAGTTGGGGCCCCAGTGGACTGAAGTCTGGATCTGAGAATGCTAGTACAACGTAGTAATGCAGTGCTAGTTCACACTTGGTTCTTTGCGTCAGGGCAAAAGAAAAAGGACAAGAAGGCAGAGGAAGCAAAAGAAGCCAAGAAAGCGGCTAAGCAGGAGAAGAAAAACAAGAAGCGCTAGCTGGAACGGGAGGTGGGAGGCCTCTAAACGGGGTCCTCCATGCAATCTCTTACTTAAATGCATTTGGATGTTGCTTCCCAAACCTCTCAACACAATTGTGGTGATGGCCAGGCTGAGGGCTGAGCAAATGCTCTATGGTCGAGTGAAATGGGCACTCGAAGGGCCTTTTGGGGTTTGTTGGATCCATATATGCGCATTAGGTGCAGTGCGGCGAACACACTCGCATTGCTCGTTGCGCTTTGCGATCTATGGCTTAGAGATCTTGAAGTGAGAGACTTGCTGGTCAAAACAAAGTGACAAAGTGCGTTGGCATTGTGGTCAACCATGTGAACAGCTTCAAACTGCTTTCTGTATTGGTTCCAGTTTGGTTGTGGTGGAGGTGGAGGGAACTTCATCGTCCAAAAGGAGAAAGCGAGGGCTTCACAAGCTTGCCCAAGATACAATAGACATGGTGATGACTGGGGAGGCGACAGCAGTTCAACTAAACATTTAATTTCTTGGTTTGCATAGTGCTGGGAGGCTTCGATGAAGCGTCTCTCCTCCACTTTAAAGAACTTGCTTCATGTACCAGAGTATTTGGTGCCGTTTCTTGTTGGCAAGCAGTGTGCAGTATACCCTGCAGCAACCACTCTGAATGTGTTTAACGACTTGTTGAGGCCTCGGATATTGGATTTGGCTGAGAAGTTCGATTCTTGTGGTGGCTGGGGTCTTGAAAGAGCCTTCCAGAAGTGGGCTCTGAAGCAAGACTTTCGAGCTTGCTTACCAGAACCCTTTGTGCCGGGTACTAAGCAGAGTTGCTGCCAGTAGTCACGAACGGTGATGGCAAGGCTTTCGTGCTCTCAGGATTGAAGTGCCCAAAGACACTCAGCCCAAGTAGAGCGTTTTCCAGATTACCCTGCCCTGTGGTGCGGCGCCTTGATTCATTTAGGTGAAGCCTGCCCCAGGAGGAGATCAAACGGTGAAGATCGGCATGTTCTTGCCTCACATGATCATGAATAGTCTTTATGAATTCCGCAGTGGTGAGCTGTTCTATTCTTTGATGGCTGGAACTCCCCATGTGCCGTTGCTGCAACAATACAAGTCATGTAGTCGCGCTCCACTTGCCCCCTCCTTGGGCGGGGCACATTCAGGACTACACAATGTACTGGGAGCAAGATGTGAACAAACAGCTTGCTCGGGATATTTGGGGAGAGGCACGTTCCTTTTAGATCTTTTAGGGTGGGTTGAAGAAACTAGAATCTAACTAGAATGCTGCTGCAGGTTCCGCCTCGTGCAGTCCCATTTCGCTTGTATGGGGATGGTGCTGATGTATTGGGCTGCGTGGTTGCAAATACACATTTCAACATTACAGTAGGTTGTTTGCTGGCGCCTCAGGGTGCGAGAACTTTGAGATGCTGTCGCTGGTTTCTGTTTGCGGAGCTGGGAAAGGGTCCATGGATAGCCGATTTGTGCTGCTCGGCTGCTCTTCACCTCCTGCCGTCGGAGTGGATTTGTGGATCAGTGATTTTAGTTTATTCGCTCTAAGGATATGTTTGCGCTCAACAGTATCGACTGATGATGCCTGCCGTGAGACCATTCTCAGATGGGTCGCGTGGAGCTTTAGGGCAATGAGCCGCCCCCTTAACTTATTTAGTAATGGTGACCCTATAGCCGCCTGGGGCGTCGTGATTCAATCGGTTGGCCGCTTGAGGCTCCGGAATTTGGCCAGAAGTGGACCCATCTGGGAAGAAGTTCGAAAGCTAGGTTGCAAGAAGGTTTCGTTGAACTAACTAGGCTGCCTTTCCTGATCTCCCGAGTGCTTGTTTTAGATTTGAGGATTGCTCGTACATGCCCTCTTGGGCAGCTCGCAGTGGACAGCAGTTAGCAGGAGGTTTCCTGGGATGTTTAGACGGAATCCTGGGCGACCAGGAATGGCTCTTCAAAGTTCTACAATTGAAGCGTCCTTTGCTGACAAACAGTTCTTACGTTTTTTGTTGTTTGTGTTGTTTGCTTGTCTGATTTTTTCTTCTGATGGTTTTAACCATTGAACTTAATCATTGAAGGAAGCTGGCACAGTTTCCGACGGCACGTTTGCCATTACTGTGGCGCAGTTCGCCGATTAGAAGGGGACGAGCCTGAAACCATGCTATTCACAGCCTATGGCCCAAGGGCTGCTCATAGGAACACGCTGCTCAGTTTCATACGCGAAGTGCACACTAATTTGTATGTTTTTATATGTTTTTGTGTTTCCTCTTCCTATGAGGCTCATCAAGAGCAAAGATGACTGGATCGCTGTTCACGGTCATTCAACACTCACAGCAGTCCCGGGATTTACTCCAATACGTTCCTCGTTCGAGAAATGTTTAGTGTGTTTGCAGTAAACAACCACCAATTAAAACGCAATTTTTTCCTGGAAGGCATATTTCCTGACCTACTACATATTGCAGATCTTCAAATAGTGCCAGACAGCGTTGTCAGCACTCTTTGGGAACTAGCTGAAAAAGAGCCTGCACGGGAAAGGGAGTCGTTTCTATCGCAGCTTCGAAATAAATATGAATCATGGTGCCGCGAGAATAGTAGCTAAGTTGCAACCTAGCAGGTGCTGATTTTTGGAAAACTTAGTTTGGGTTCTGTTGTTTGCTGTGTTTGTTGTTCACCGCAGGCATTCCATTTGCGGCAAGGGCGGCCAAAAAACTGTTCACCACAGCCGTGATTGCTCCGTCGGCAACTGGGTATGCGCACGTCTCTCAAAAATATCTAAAAGGCGGAGCCGCCAGGATGTTTGTGTATTGGATCACTGAAGTTTGCTATGCGGCATCGATGACGGACCCTTCTGCTCACAACAAGCACTTTGCCTGTTAAGATAACACTAAGTTCACCTTGAATTGTCCGTTCAACATTTTTCAAAGGTTCTTTGTTGTGGACTGCAAGGCACCGGACGAACGTTTTCCTCGCACTCGCCTCCATATACACCACACTTGCAGAACAAGGGCAACTTGCAAACAACTGGTTTGTTGTACCAATGGTGACAGTACAATTAATGGTGGCAACGCAGCAAAGGCGGTATTTGACCCAAGAGCCCATCACTGACATCCATTATGCATACATGACCTTCCGCCAAAGCTACAACTGCACCTTGGTTTTGACTATGTTTGTTTCATTCAGCCAACTTGAGGCCACACCCGTTTACGAACAAACAACATGTGTGTGTGAGTTTGCCGTTGTCGGGACATTCCACTAAGACCTTGCCAATGAAGCGTTAAACGCTGAAAAATTTGTTTGGCAGCTGCTGCCAAAGCAGCATATGCTGGAACACTTGCAGCTCAGTCCTACTTACGCCGTCTTTTTCGTATGTTGTGGAGATGGTGCGCAGGAATGTGTGTGTGTTTTTGAAAGGGTTCTGCCAAAAAAAATCCACCAAGGTTTTTGGATTGGGTGCCCATCTTCGGGAATTGTCGACGATACTCCCTGTACCTGGATGAGGACATGGTGGGTCGCGCTAAGTCTTTCGGCTAAATGGTTTCGTTTGGACTGTGTTGCAACATTGTTTCTGCAATGGGCACAACCGTTTGAGGCGCATAGTTTCCCACACGCACCCGCGCACCATGAGCGTGGCCGGGCTGAACCACTTTGCGTTGGCTGCCGCACTGCGGTGGTGTGGACAGGATGCGCTTCTGAGGTGAACAAAGCGCGCGGTGTGTGACCCAACGAGCTGGTGAGTTTGCATGTGTACAAGTTTTCCACCTTTACACACAAACTACTTGGGTTGTCAAGAAGGAGGTTGAAGTCCTTACCCACACACACACACATCCCCCCTCCCATGACAAAACTTTTTTGTTCTTTTGACAAGGACACAGCACATGTTCCAAAATAACACTGGGAACAGTCGTGGGGAACTTAGGACTGTTGTGTTGACAGCGCTACATTTTTCCAGCGCAACAACATGAGCCTGCCGCACTTTGATTGCAACACTTGCTCTTCAAGTTTGTGAGCAGTGTATCGCTGGCACGTTTCGGTTTGGCAACAGCTTTTTGGTAGCTGGAGCAATGTGGCCACCAAGCCAAAAATAGACTATACGGTCGGCGGCCTTAAAGGCTATCCTTAAGGCCTCCCAGCCTCTGTTGGTGGTATCATGTGGTATCACCATGCCTGGGAATTCGCTCTTGTGCAATTTCAATCATGCACTGCTGCCATCGCTCAGCTTCTCGATGTTCAATAAATTGCTTACGCATTCCACTGCAAATGGCCAAAAACATGGTGGTAGTCCGGCTTCTAGTAGGCATGTCGATGTGGTAAGCATCAGGAACTGATTGTTTCTTTCGGCGAGTGAATTGTTCTGGGGACGTCCTGGAAGCGACTGGTCTAGTGGAATCCGGAGTTCCTTGAGTGCTGATTCGAATTGTGGCGCATCATCCGAGTAAGCGTTGGTGACCTTTCTCTTACCGATATAGTGCTTCATTGCCTGCACCACTTCGTCACTATTGCTTGCTTTCAATGGATAACCCCATATCACACCAGTGAACCGATCTCGAATCACCAATATGTCCTTATCCGGCATGATCCCATCTCTCGCCATCTTCTGAGTGTTCATGAGATCGAAAGTGATAAGGTCACCGAATGCCTTCAATTTCCGTTTGAAAGCTCCCTTGCTAGTCTTGTAGTGCTTCATCTTTGCTCTCACACATGACTTGCAGTATGGGTTCTTGTATCGGTGCGTCATCAAGTGCAATATAGATTTCGCCTCGTTCTTCAGCACTCCTGGTTTTGATAGTCTGGTTTCCCCGTCAACCACATCGACTTCCAATAGTCCTTCTTCATCTTCATCAATGTCACTCTCCCCTCGTTCAGAATCCGCATCACCTCCATGTTCGTCGCCTCCGGCTTCTTCAGGTTGACCTTCGTGATCACGATCGAATCTCGGGTCTTCCCCGACATATTCCTCTTCAGGAGAATACCTGTCATCACCGTCTTCCTCTGGTTCTCCTTCGACGCCTGCAACAGCTGGATTGATATCAGATTCACCATCCTGACCTCTCTGGTTATCTTTCTTCTTTCTCCTCCGTCTCCGTGGTTTCTTGGGCGGAAGTTCCTCTTGTTGTGTCTCCTGACCTGTTGTGACCTCGTCTTCATGCCCCACACCTGACAGTATGCGATGAAGTATCGTAGCCAAGCCGTCTGGTCTTGGTAAACATCTCCCGTCATCATCATTCACCTTGATGTAGGGTATGTTGTCATGCACCGATAGCGGAATCTTGTTCGCGTTCTGGTCGATGAGGTATGGCAATTGATTTGCCGGCCATATGAATGAGTACCCTTGTTCCATGCATCGTTTCCCGATGGAAAAGACTGATGGTGTGCTTTCCAACACGTGTGCCTCGGACTTCATGGGTAGTTCGTCCACATTGATGTCCACCATCTCTGATGTACTAGTTACACCATTCGCTGTCATGAAGCTCACGGATTTGGGTCCTTCCTTGGTGGTAAGGCCCATGGCATTGACTTTCTCTCTTGAGATCAAATCGTGTCCACATCCTGTGTCCATGATGAAGCGTATTGGTGGTCCATCATACCTCTCCACAGCCATGAACATCGTGGTTCCTGGTATCGTGTAGTCGACAAAATCCTTCCTTACTACCTCTCTGGTGTTGAAATCAGACAGGTCGACGTTCACCTCGATTCCTTCATCTTGAGTGATTTGTATCCATGCCTTGGCAATGTGTTCAGCATAGAATAGCTCCATCATCTTACCTTTGTACTCGTGCAGCTATGTTGCTCACTCTGAGGGCTCTCAATGACGAAATGAGCTCGGTATCCACCTTCTGCACCTCATTCTTCTTCTTCTTGGAGGGACGGTTGTTTAGCTCGTTACCAGGATCGCAGGTGAACGTGGTCACATTCGCCTGGTCATCGAATCTGACTTTAAAGCGAAGCGCCAGCTTACCTTGTTGTACGTTGGGAAGTGCGGGTTGTACGTCCTCGTCATCACTCTCGATGTCTCCGCAAAGCATGAAGGCTGGCGCAGCCGGTTTGGGCTTGGCTTTGCCTCTAGCCTCTTGTTTTGTAGCAGGAGCAGCGTGATGCTGACGTTGACATTTGTCCCCGAACTTGCACGATCCTTTCTGCCAATTCCAACAGATCTGATCCTTCACTGGCCTAGGGCTACTGCTCCTGCCACCGGGACTCTTTGATCTGTCACCCTTGAGGTTTTCTGGTTTCTTAGCAGAACTCTTGTGCTTCTCTTGGTGACTAAACTTGCATTTGTCTCCTCTAGAACATCCGTTTTTCCCATGGAAGTGGAAAGCGCATCCTATCTTAGACGTATCTGCTGGAGTCGCTGACCTGCCACGATCCCCTTTTGGGCTCTTCGTGGCTGATCTTCCACGATCCTGCTTCTTGTCCTTCTTGTTGTGGTCCTTCGGATTAGCCTGAGGAAGCACTGGAGCGGCGTCATGTTTCGGTGGATCGGTCTTGGTATTCTTGGGTTTCGCTTTAGGTTCCTTCTTCTCCGCCGCTGGTGTGGCTTTCACGATGTTCCCAAAAGCTTTCTCCCTTTCTCTCTTGTTTGTGGTCTCAATTGATTTCCGTATCCACTTCGTCATGATCTCTCGTAACTTCTGGTAGGTCTTATCCGGATCCTTATCCAACATGTTGTCGTACACAGACAAGTCTAACGCCATAACTTTGGAATCCTTAATCTTATCCCAAAGCAGGTTGCGAAGTGCTTTGTCAGGAAGCATGTCATCCGCATCCATACCTGATATGATCTCATCCCACTGTCCAAGGAATCTGGATAGTTGATTATCCCCAGGGAACTTTAGATCGAATAAGTGCTTGGATGCATACATCACATCAACGTTGTCGGCACTCCGGAAACTATCGACGATCAACGCTAACATTTCTCGTCCCTTGACCATTCCAGGAGTTGTGCCTCTCGCACGTCTCTGCATCATCTGCCTCACCTTCAGTTGTACGTCATGAGATCTCTCACCTGCTGCGTGGATGATCGTATGTAGGGTGATACCTAGCTTAGCGTCTATGCTAGCGAATCTTGCTTCGCCTGATGTCTCGAGTAGAAATGGGTCATATGGTGATCTGAAGGCATCCGAGAGCCATTGGATCCAGTCTTCTTGTTTCTCGTCGCCCGATGCCGTCACGACTGCCGCTACAACCTGGGATTTCCAAACCTCCAGGTCGTGTATCTTGGGCCATGCAGGGATGTTGATCTTCTCGTGTTCCTTCCGAGATATCTTGGAGCCGCCTGAGCTAGAGGATGAAGCGGCACCATGTTCGGTTGCGGCTGCGCTCTCTGCACTTGTGCGCTCCTCTTCGTACCTCTTCCGGTACTTATTCCTCTCATCTCTGAGCCGTGATGCATGCGCTTCGAATTCCATCATGTCCTGTTGGTTCTGCATCATACCTTCGTAGTACTCAATTGCCTCTTTCTCCTCGGACCTTAATAACTTTTCAGTACGTTCAAGTTCCGCTCTAAGCTTGGCCATCATCTCATTCTCCACACTGGGTTCTGATCCCATGTCTGGTGGTTTCAACTTCAGTGCGACCTTCAATTGTGCTTCACTTGCGCTTGATTCGATCAATTCTTCCTGGAGACGTTTCAGCATCCTCTCTTTACGTAGAATGTCCTCTTCCAACATGTTCACCTTGGCTTCGGCCTTCTTGAGTTCGGCGCTAGATGGTTGAAACGATCGATCGGATCCTTGAATCCTCGTCTGAGTCAACTCCTCGTTCGCCTTCTTCAATTGCTCTCTGATGCTCAAGATGAACTTATCCTGAGTATTAGATCGGTTGTTGAGCTCCTCATTCTCTTCTGATAACCATTTGATCTGGTTTGCATACATTGCTTCCCTCATCTTCATCTCTTCAGCATATTCGTGTTTGTTTCTGGCACTCTGCCTTTGTAGTCCAACTAACTCCTGTCTACACAGATCCTTGACGTTCTCAGCATCTGCGATTGTAGTCATGATCTCGGTTACGGCTCGATCTCTTTCCGCCGATATAGCCTGGATCTCTTCCGTGCCGATGTTCACAACTTGACTAACCATCTCTGCGCTGTTGCGATCAGCGTACTCCCCTAACTGGGTGAGACGATCCCGCATTGCCACACGATCAGTGTCCATCTGGTATTGCAGGTCGTGTGCTGCTGAGAGCAAACAGTCTCTGGATTCTGTAAGTTGGGAGATTCTTCGTTGATTTCCATATCCTTCGACATAACATTCTTCGAGGTGTGCCATCACTACTTCGTGGACTTCGGTCTCGTGTTGTATAATCTGGTTCTGTCTCTGCTCACATTCGACCATCCATGCGTTTTGGTGGTTCAACATATGCACTTCGGCAAGTAGTTGCGCACACTTCGCATTCAGGTCTCCATCGGCCCGCGCTAGTTGTAGGTTGTCAGTGCTTGCCCTTGCTCGATCTCCAGCTTCGCTGTCCGACGGCACTGGTACAGCTGACCCATCCTCCAATGCTAACACTCTCACAGCTCCGGTGTCAGTCCTCCTCCTTGTCTCCCTAGGGCTACGGCCTGATCTCGGTGTCCCCCACGCTGGTGTCGAGTGCGCTGACGGGGAACGACTTCGTGCTCTACCTGTCGCATCTTCTCTCACCGCTGTCAGAGTCTCCGCTTCGATCGTACCTGGACTAGAGTTGTGGGATGCACTCATCCGATCTGCGGCCGCAGCAGCTGCTCCAAAAGATGCAGTGCTGGCGTCGGATTGGTCCATCTTCAGTGACTGAGGGTAACTGATCTATCCGATGCGTGTGCGTTTAGATGGTGTTGTGTAAGGCCGCAGCTCGTACCCAGCTCAAAGGAGTCTGGATACGGCTGATAACCTGTGAACAGATGGAAAGGTGTGCCCTGGCCCCGTTCTAGCTCTTAGGTCAACATGAAGCTCGCGCGCTAAAGCTCCTTTTTACCTGGTTGGGCACTTGAGCCAAAAGTATATGGCATGTACCTGTATAGCGACTATACTGGGACCCCATCCCTATTGACAAGAACTGTCCATTGGTTCATATATTCCCTCCATTGGTTCATATATTACCCTTTTGAGGTGGAGGGTTAAGTAGGAAAACCAAGTCCAAAAGGTTATCCACTGACAGCCATGCAAAAAGTGCTTGCTTGCTAAAGGGACCTACGTAGCTTCTATGGCTATCACGCATGGAAATGGGCCGTTTGGCAATGTTTGGTGAATGTTTCTCCCCCTTGCTCAGAGATCTATGGAGATCCCTGAAGCGCAAGGATAAACATAACAACTGGATGCCAAGTGGCCAGAAGCTACGGACAAAACTCCCTCTGCTTAAAGCACACAACAAAGTATGGTCAAGAGACGTATGCCGTATACATCCACCTCATGTGTCACAGGTCGTCAAAAATCAATCAACAAGGTTTGGCGTCAAATCAGTCTGGCCATGAAAGATCAGCAGGCGATGCTTGTACATGTCCGCTTTGATCTGCTCGAGGGCATCTGGATTTTCCAGGGCTTCCTGGAGAGAAAGAGGGCTGACACCTTTCTTGCGACCACCTAGCTGTTCTTTTTTGCGCTAGGGCACGTAGAAACCAAAAACCAACAACTCCCCATCTTGCAAAACAACAACACACCTCTCAAATACACCCCCAAAAAGGCTATGGGAAATCCGAAGCCGATCCTATGAACCCATGAAAAATTGGCAGGTTCTGCATCTCCACTGCAGTGGTTCTGCACCAAACGGCTCGAGGGTCAACAGCCACTCCTTGACGCTAAAGCCGCGCACAGAGGCGCCAAAGGAGCAGCCTTCCCTTGGAGTGACGTCGTAGAAGGCCAAGCGGACCACCTGGGTCGTGGAAAATGTGGCCCGTGGCTCTTGGGTGGATGTGAGATGGTCGACAAAGCAAATTCCAAACCCTTGGGTTAAGTCATAATATGCATTTAAGATGTTTGGAGCAAACATAGTTTTGTAGTTTGGTTTGCTGCAGTGTTTGCAAATGCTTGCGGAAGTGCCTGTATTGTTTGTTTACTAATTATAAACCATACAATTAAAAGCCACAGTCTGCCAAACCCGACAAGCCGACAAGCCGACAAAAACAGAAGCGGGCGGCTTTTCGTAAAGGATCCCCACCTGTGTTCTCTCTGCTCTTCTCTTCCGCCTGCCAGCTGCGCACCCCAGTGTCAGCGCGGAAGCAGACCACGCACTGCACGCCACCTGCCACGGCCAGGCCTTTGGCGTCGGGGCGACGGCCCTGCGCGCAGCATGGACAACTCCAAATCGCGCTGCAGGCGCAGGCGCGCTGGCCGCGCTGGTGTGCTGGGCTGCAAAGGGGGCGCCCCCACAGGCGCCGAACATGGGAAAATCGTGGGAAATCCCGAAGATCAAAGTCAGAAGCTCCACTGTGGAAGGTCCCCCGAGTCACGGACTCTCTTTGATTGCTGTTCGGTTCTGTGACATACTGACATACTGGTATACCAATCCCGTTGAATGGGAGTACACCAACAGCTTCGTCAGTGTTGTGCTATCTGGGTGCCTCTCTATAGATGTTCAGTCTGCGTAGAATTCCATGCCTGGTGGACTGGAACAGTGTACATCTGTGTGATATTATTCTGCTGCATGTCTACTCTGCTTGCTCTGCTCTTGAGATTTCACCCTGCCAAGCGCGAAACTGGCGCTCCGTGTCTTCCCCAATCCAACAGGTAAGACAAAGGCGCCCAAGGTCGAGCAGCACACATCGATCTTTTGTGGTTTCAGAGAAGGTTGCACTTGGGTCTATCCTATTACCAGTAACAGTGGATGATGATGGTTAGGTTGCGGGCCTTGTTCAAAAATAGTGATTTGATTGTTTACTGGCTGTTACAGGCAATAGGACAGACCCAAGATGGCACCATGGATCCCCATCAAAAGCACATCATGTGGGAAACGCGCCATCTACTCTGAAACCACAGTGTGACTCCCTGCAGCAACTTCTCGCAAGAATTGTTTTGGCCCCTCCTCCCTAGCCATCGACCGGCACACGAACATGTACCAGAATTATATAGACTCATTTAGACTCCAACTCAAGTGGGCTCTGGATGACACATTATGTGTGACGAAAAAAACATTTCCCTACGGACTCTATTCTGTTACATAAAGAGAAGCAAGCCCTCAAGATCCCTCAAGGCAAATGCAGCAACTTGAGGTTCGCAGTTCCCCCAACGATGTGAAAAATGCGAGAATGGAACACAAATACAAAACACCTATGTCTATGTCCCACTGCACTTTCCGATACAATTCTGTGCCCACAATGCCCTGTTCAGGTTCAACCAAGTCGACAGGACGTGACTGGACGTCGTGCACTTGTGCCCACACCAGAGCGTTAAGTTCGCTTGTGCAAACTGAGCGTCAAGTTCGCTTCCCATCCAGGCCAAGTGGACCAATAGCAAAGGGACAAGCAAAAGTCTTGCAAAATGTAGCCTCAGTCTCCGTGCTGCATGCGAGAACTCATGCTCCATCCTCATCTTTCTGGTACAACGGATCAGGTAAAAGCAGAACATATAGAGTACATACTGTACAAAATATCATGTCCATTGCATATCATTGGGTTGACCCAAGCACATGCATCCTGACAAACAGGAGCGTTTCTATCAAACAATGATACAAGTACCACTGAAACTGAAAAACAAAAACACCCACCAGTCCTCACAGCCCCACGAATTGTTTCTTAATCCACGCAACTTGCAGTAGAGCCCCCGTCAGATACCGTAACCGTCACCTCCTGGGATGCCATGTTGACCTGCTGAAACTGCCCAGGCTTTCCTGTCCCCTAGGGCTCCCGTCCCCAACTTCTGAGAAGATGGTTGGGGTGGGTTTTGGGGGTCTAACCACCTTCTGAGGATATGGTTGGAGCCCTAGAGGTCTTAAGATCTCATGGTCAACCCAGCAGTTCTCTCGTCCCATCTTCTGAGCAGCCAATGAAGACTTGGCAACAAAGTTCACTCAGCGGGGAAGCCTGGCGGCCAGAGTTCGGTCCTGGCGTTCACTGAACTCACACCCTTACAATTGGAATATCGTGGTTTTTGGTCACGGTTTCCAAGACATGATTTCGTGGGCATCTACTTTTATTATAGATTTGAGGATACAACAACAACAACAACAACAACAACAACAAAGTGTCCTACAAAGCACAGGTTTGTAACAAAGTGGCCCGAAGAGTCCCATGGCTTCCGTTCGAAGCAGTCGCTCCAACGAGACGAGAAGAAACGAGACAAGAACCGTTCCGAAGGGCTTTTGGACCGAAGATTCCATGTTCAACATGCACTTCCAGGTTATATAACTTGTGCTTGTCTTGACGCACCTGGCAGCTGTTTTAGCACCTGTTCTGTTTGAAAGATTGAACCATGCACGTCACCAACCCATCATGTGTTGATCGATCAGGACCGAAAACGTTCTTAAACTACCAAGCCTTCCTGTGATGCCAACTCACCTGTTTTGGGAAACTGTCCCTCTACAATATTGACAGAGAACCCTGATGCTCGTCACATCTTGGCAACAAAAAAGGGTTTCCTAGATTGAAAAAAAACATGCTCATTAGTCTCCAAGGCCCAGATCTCGGATCCAAGATATCCAAGTCCCAAACCAAAAAAGGACATGAATGAAGGAAAGAGAGATCTAAAGACTCAAGAAACCCTTAAAGAAACTAGATACCACAACGACCCCCCTTCCATCCAAATGACATGCCCGCCTTCCTTCCCTATATCCCCCAAAATAACACCAATTGACTGTTGACTTCCGGGTCTTCTTTATCTTCTTTGGAACACCACTGGAAACACCGCGCGGGTTGTCGCTGCGGGTGGTCGTTCCTGTCGCTTGGCCGCGCCTGAAAGAAGTTGGTGCTGCTCATGAGCTCCGGGCTGTCGTAGAGGGCCATGACCTGATGCGAATGCCTTTTGACCTGCCCTCAATCCTGCAAGTCTGACCGGAACCTGGAACCCCCCATGGAACCCCCACGTCGGGTTGGTCTTTGCGGGCGATGGAAAGCACTACAAATTCCTGGCCAAGCCCATTGGATGTCATGGGTTTTCCTCAAGAAAAATCCATTCCTTCGGAGGAAGTCAACCTTTCAATGTCAAGCTTTCGTTTCATGGTCCTTAAAGGCTAGGGCCAAGGGCTAAGGCGGCTAAGGGTTTGTTTCTGTTCAAATTCCATCCAGTCTCCTTTTTGAGGAGTGAACGTAGTCTCTTGACATTGGAAGCCATCGGCAAAAAAAAACGTGGTAACATGCCGCCACACAGCCGTGCTTTTGGGACATGTCTACAGAAACATGTGTTCCTGTTAGTTTGGAATGGTTGGAATGGTATATATATATATAAACAATTCCACAGGCAAAACTACCGCAAGAACATGAGCGACCAAGTGACGCACAAGACCACGATCAAAACGGCGTGAAGCACGCCTCACAAGCCGCCAAAAGGCGTGGCGTTTCTCGTCGCATGAAATGACATGGGGTGATTGACATGTCTGACGATGGATGTCGCTCGTTGGCCGAATTTGGCCGATGCGTCGCTTGGAAGGATTGCGGATCCCCAAGAAGAAAGCATCGTTGACCCTGAGAACCGCCCTTCTAACTCCTGCACATGCCAAAGACCTTAGCCATGGCTAAGCCTTATCCAGCGGGTTGGGAAACTCCCTGTAGCTCCGAATGCCTCCTTGTTTAAGGGGGGGCATATGGACACCCCTGGCTCCCTAGCTCCCGAGCACGAGCACCAGCTAGTTGTATTAATCACCATATGGGAATTGAGCCAAGAGTCTTGAAGGGGTATACTCTTAGCTGTTGTCGCTCAGGGTGGCGTGGCGAGAGAGACAACACAGCACCGCGGTTCTCATAGACGTGCAATAGAGACCCCCAAAAGACTCATGAAAAGGATTGAAAAGAGACATTCTGCGAAAATCGCTGGAGGGATTTCCTGATTTCCTATGCACACCGCAATGGATGAAGAAACCTTCTATTCCCACAACAAATGCAGGACAAAGGCGTTTACCGTCTCGACTCCCAGAAAAGATGTATGATGATATTACGATGATATAAATCCCTAGGGATCCACATACCTTCTCAGAAGGTACTTGGGCCCTCCAAGCCTACATAAATAGTCTCCAATCACCTTCTGACAAGGTACTTGGATCCCTAAGGTATATATATATACAGTATTCACAGTATATCGTTTGTACAGTATACGTCATAGTCATCATCCATTTTTGATGAGGAATAATCATCCAACTCTCACGCCATCTATATGTTGGGTGTAAAGCACCCTTTCTGTATGAGTTTCTGCAAGTCTTGCAGCAGGCCACATCAAAGAACAAACCCACATGAATTCACGCTAACAGCGGCTAACACAATGGCAACATCCTGGCAAAACCAGCATGGAACCTAGACACAACAGACTAACAAAGTCAAGTGCTCTTTTAACTTTTCTAGGGGCGTGCTGTTACAAATGGGGAATTGTAAAACATCATCATACGTTCCCAGGTCTTTGTGACCATGAACTGGAAGTGCTGTGGACTTAGGCGCCCCGGTACGCAAAACGCAAAACGTAAGGTTCCGCACGTGTAATCCAAAACGTGCAGCCCCCCTCCCAAAATCCAGGCCCCATCCAAATACCTATATGCATTTACTGTCCTCAGGTAAATGCATCTGTGTGGTCTGGAGGTCCACTTTGCGGAAATATGTTCGTCTTTCAATACAGAAGCTATGGGCTACTGCTGGACGCTTTTCTCTCACTCTTGGAAATGCATTTGGGAATTGATTGTGTCCAAGCTATAGGGCTATGGGGTGCTACTGGATGCATTTCTCTGGTTTTTGAAAATGCATTTGGGATGTTTCTGTGTTCCATGGCCTTGTTCTGTTTATGCATGAGGAAGTTCCAAAAACGCATCTGAGCTCCAAAACGTGGGAACATACGGCTGGAAACGTGAGTTTTGAA